ACAGGAGCAGAAGTAGATGGTCCAGGTCATCACGAGACTGGCACCCTTACCCAGCATCATGGCCCATGCAGTGGCAGCCCTTGGCACAGTGGCCCTTTTGGCGTCCCTGTGCCTTTCACCAAGGCCAAGGGTCACATTCCAGGGCATGGCAGTGCCTCGGCCACTTTCGTACTCCCTCCGGCACAGTCAGCATCGATAGGGTCAGGGGTAGTTCCGTCGCTCCTTGATGCCACCATCCCAACCTCTTCAGCAGCCCCACTGGTATCAGCGCTGACGACCTCGGCACCGACAGCCCCGACACCATCGGTTCTGGCTTTGACAACTTCAGCACCGACAGCCTCAGCACTGACGTATACAGCTCCAGCACTGAGGGGCTCTGTACAGTTTGTTTTTGCTCCAGTCCAGGATCCCCAAGTGCCATGGGACCCCTTGGGTGCAGAGGGAAGAGAGCAGCCACTCCTTGTGGGGGTCTCTTCCTTTCCCTCTTCAGATGAAGCGCTGGCAGGCACTTCGGGAGCCCCAGCCCTGCAGGACAACAGGGTCCTACAGCAATTGCTGAAGAGGGATACCCAGAGCCTGGGCATTCAGGCAGAGGAGGTAGTGAAGGACGCAGATCCAATGGTGGATATCCTCACCTCCTCCAGACCGACACGTATTGCCCTATCCTTCATAAAGACGATTGCTGACACCATAAAAACCTTGTGGCAGACCCCAGCTTCATTGCCCCCTATGGCTAAGCGCAATGAAAGACGCTATTTTGTGCCATTCAGGGGCTACGAGCACTTGTATACCCATCCTTCACCAGATTCCCTGGTCATGGACGCTGCTAACCAACGTGAACGCCAGGGCTACCAAGTTCCCTCCCCAAAGAATTGGGAGGTGAAACGACTCAGCCGTTTTGGGAGAAAAGTCTACTCCACTGGTGGCTTGCAGCTCCGCATTTCTAATCAGCAGGCCATTGTCAGTAGCTACTGCTACAATACATGCGGGGCAATGGCAAAGTTCATAGAGCGGCTGCCGCAGGACTCCCATGCCGAATTCTTGGCCCTGGTTGAGGAGGACAAGCTCATTTCTCGAGTTTCACTCTAGGCCACTCTGTATGGGGCTGATGCAGTCACTCGGGTGATGGCTACCAGGGTTGCCATGAGAAGGGGCTCCTGTCTCCAGGTCTCAGGTCTGCCATACGAGGTCCAGAAGGTGAGCAACAAACACTATCGGGTCAGTCCTCCCTTTTGGCCTATCAGCAGTGCCTCGTGTGTTTACCAAGTGTATGGCAGTCGTGGCTACATTCCTATGTAGGCACCAGGTACAAGTGTTTCCTTACCTTGACAACTGGCTGATCAAGGGCTGGTCCAGGGCTCAAGTAGAGGCACAAGTCAACTTCATAAGAACGACGTTCAACTAACTGGGCCTTCTCCTGAACATGGGGAAATCGACTCTGTCTCCTGTATAGCGGATAGAGTTCATAGGGGAGGTACTAGACTCTACACAGGCCAGGGCACACCTCCCAGAAGCGAGGTTTCTGGCCCTGGGTGACATCATTCAAAGTCTCAGGCAGTTTCTTACCATCACAGCAAGGAATTGCCTGAAACTTCTAGGACAGGATGGCCTCTTGTACTTATGTGGTGCAGCACACCACGCTCAGACTCTGTCCTCTCCAATCGTGGCGAGCCTCAGTTTATTTGCCGACTCGGGACAGTTTGGACAGGGTCGTGACTCTGCCTCACCCAGTCCTCGACTCCCTCCAGTGGTAGCTGGACCAGCAGGTAGTGTGTACAGGGGTCCCCTTCCCCGGTCCTCAGACATCCCACTTGCTAGTGATGGACGCATCAGCCTTGGGCTGGGGAGCACATCTGAGAGACCTCAGGACACAAGGTCTCTGGTTTTAGGTGGAACTCGCTCTCCACATCAATGTCAGAGAGCTGAGAGCGGTGCGCCTGGCATGCCAGACTTTCCGAGACCACGTGACAGGGAGATGTGTATCAGTTATGCCAGACAACACCACGGCGATGTTCTGTATCAACAAACAGGAGGGTGTATGCTCTTCTCCACTGTGCCAGGAAGCCCTCATGCTGTGGGACTTCTGTGTAGCTCATTTGATACACCTGAAAGCATCATACCTCCTGAGAGTACAGAACAAGTTGGCAGACGGTCTCAGCAGGTTATTTCATGGCCACAAGTGGTCCCTATGCCTGGATGTCGCCAACTCCATCTTTCAACGGTGGGGTTTTCCCTAGATGTATCTGTTCGCCACACGATGCAACAGGAAGTTCCAGCGGTTTTGCTCCTTCCTGAATCACAGCCTAGCCTCCATCGTTGATGCGTTCATCCTCCTATGGAGAGGCCATCTCCTCTACGCGTTCTCACCCATTCCTCTCATTCACAAGGTGCTTCTCAAGATACGAAGGGAAGAGGCTTCAGTATATTGACAGTTCCAGCCTGGCCCCACCAACAATGGTACACATCTCTTGTGGAAATGTCTGTGGAAGCCCCAGTCACCTTGCCACTCCTCCCAGACTTAATATCTCGGGATCACTGCTGTCTCCAGCACCCGAACCTTGAGTCGTTACACCTCATGGCATGGAAGCTCCATGGCTGAACCCCCTGGAGCTCTTCTGTTTGGACCTCGTTAGACAAGTCCTCCATGGCAGTAGGAAACCCTCCATCAGGGCTACCTACTTTGCCCAGTGGAAGAGATTCTCAATCTGGTCGGCACAGCATCATTTATCCCCGACGCTCACCTTTATATCACTCATACTGGACTACCTTCTCCATCTCAAGCAGCAGGAACTGTCCATGTCATCAATAAGGGTTCACTTGGCGGCCATCTCTGCCTTCCATCCAGGCGCAGAGGGCCGGTCAGTCTTTGCCAGCCCTATGGTCAGCCATTTTCTGAAAGGTCTCAGCAGGTTATATCCACATGTTCGATATATCCGGCCCCAACCTGAGACCTCACTCTAGTCCTTTGGTTCGAAGGACAGACCCATCAATTTGGACTGGCAACTTGTTCTCTGCTTTATCTGTCATACATGGTAGTGTTTCTGGTAGTGATAACCTCAGCCAGGAGGGTGTCTGAGCTCAACACCCTAATATCAGAGCCCCCTTACACCGAGTTCTATAAGGACAAGCTCAGGCCACATTCAGCTTTCCTCCTGAAGGTTGTCTCCCAATTTCATATCGTCCAGGACATCTTTCTCCCAGTGTTCTATTGTGACGGATTTCTGTTACCAATCTGCCTGAGGCGTCAGGTGATCAGGCTGAGGCCACAGGATCATTTGGGCGGGAGATGACGAAACACACCAAGTATCTAAGTTTTAAAGCTTTATTGATAAAATAATGAAATAACAGCAGAGAGTGCTGGGGTGGGAGGGAGGAAGAAAGGAAGGAAGAAAGCGTTAGTGTCCCAAGCCCTAACCCACTTTCATATTCACATCTGCACTACCCGAGGCTGGCTAAGCCTGGGTGTAATGTAAGAAGAAGAGGGGGTGTGGGGTGGATGGGAGTTCTTGTCCCGTGCACGGGTTGTCAGGGTCCGCTGTGATCTCTGAATTACTCCAGCTCTCAGGAGGGTTTTAAGCTTTGGGTTCCTTTTGGGAGTGTTCCATTCCGTGACCTCTGTTCCTGGTGCTCTTTGTGCCAGTCCAAACCGGCTTTCTGTGGTCATCTTTGCTTTCCCAAAACACAGCGGCTCCAGGGACATGAAGCTCTGCCTCCCCCCACCCCCCCGTCGTCATCTCGTCTGTGTTTTGCATCTCTGCAGTCCTGGTTTTCTCATGGCTGGCTGTGGCTGGGTGAGAGACAAACTTCTCGTCTATGTCAAACTTCCAGTCCATGACCTTGGACTGGAGCCAGCGTCTTATTGTCGGACTGAGCTTGCTAGCTGCATTGTTGAGTTAATCCTTTCTCAGCTCTTTCTCCTTCCCCCTTTGGCCTCTTGCAGCCTGCAAAAGAATCTCCCACACTCCACTCATGCCTTTGACCCTCCCCAAAATGCCTTGCGATGCTTGCAACAGCATTAGCAACCTGGAGTGCTGATCTGCCTTCCCCAGGGGAACCCCTGAGGTTATGACACTATCCTCAGCTGCACTTGAGCAGCAGGGAGCAGAGGCTTCACTCATTGAATGTCCACAGAGCACTAGCCTTTTACATTGAAAGAAAGAAGCCGTTTAGGAAGTCCATTCAACTGTTTGTGGCCGTGGCAGACAGGACGAAGGGTCTTCCAGTCTCCTCCCAACGAGCTTCCTTGTGGATCATGTCCTACATCCGTGAATGGTATAACCTGGCAGAGGTGCCTGCCCCTCTGCTCACAATGCACTCCACTAAGGTGTAGGCTTCTTCAGCAGTGTTCCTGGCGCAAGTTCCGACTCACGGAATATGCAGTGTGATGACGTAGTCCTCCATACATATTTCACTGCGCATTATGCAATTTACCCAATTGGCCAGAGATGATGCGGCCTTTGCTAGAGTTGTGCTCCAGTCAGCGGACAACTCCGACCCCGCCTCCTGAACTTAGCCTTGGGAGTCACCTGATTGGAATTGTCATGAACAAGTGCTTGAAGAAGAAAAAACGGTTACTCACTTTCTCATAACTGTTCTTCGAGATGTGTTGTTCATGTCCATTCCCATACCCTCCCTCCTACCTCTCTGTCGACATACCCAGCAAGAAGGAACTGAGGGGTGGCATGTCAGTAGGGTCCTATGTTGAGTGCCATGATGGCACCACTCCAAGGGGCGCCTGGACCAACCCAATGGATACTGCTAGGGGAAAAAAAATCTTTCGGCTGCTTTGCACACGCACACACCTGATTAGAATGAACATGAACAACACATCTTGAAGAACAACAGTTACGAGAATGTGAGTAACTGTTTTTTCTTTAAATGTGTGTTTTTATGTAGAGTGTGCCTCATTCACTAACATTCTATGAATTACTTATTTCAAGATGGAAATTGTTTGGACTGCAGTCAATCAGCTGTAAATACATGCATTTTAATCTTTGTAGTTTACAGACAATGAAACAGGGAGTACCACATCCTCTAATCGTGCCATCCGAGGGCGGAGTGATAGCATGGTGAGCCGGGTTGCATGCAATTGTCTGATGCTATTGGTGGTATCTTAACTTTTTTTAAGATCCCTAATTGCTTTATTTACTATTAGCACATACTGTTCCACAGATATGAAGGGCTGCTTGTGAGAGAGGGAAAGTAGACACCCCTATTCACTTACAACTTGTGTGCACCCATTGGCCTGAGTTGCGTTTTCTTGAAATCCATTATATTACTTAGGCAGAGTTGTATGATATCTCTATATATGTCTTATAATGCAGCTCAGATAAGACAGTTGACCTTATTTGCACTGGGTGAATGTTTTTTTGAATTACTTTTTGAGCAAATTCAATTTTTAAGGAAATACAGTTATAGGCAGAACTGGTAGAGCCACTTATACTTGAGGTTGCCAAACATTACTTCCCATTATAAGACCCTGTTTTCAGTTGCTTATAACTTTGCCAAATTTTAACTTTTCTGGCTGAAATTTTCCATGCCAGATATCTGCATCTGGCTGAATATTTTTTTGAAAATTTCAGCAAAACTGGCTCAGTTGTTTCAGAGAATGATTAAGGAAAAACACCTGGTTTTACCAGATTTAAAAAAAACAAAACATTTTCTTGAGAAGCTCTAGAACAGGGGCTGGCAAAATACGGTCTGTGGGCCGGATCCGGCCCGTCTAACATTTCTGTCCGGCCCACCATAACTAACATTTCTGTCTGGTCTCCTCTGCTGTCTCACAAGCTCTGAGTCCAGGCCACTAAAAGTCCTGCAGCGCAGCAGGGCACTCAGGAAGGCTGCCTGCCTGTTGTGACCCTACACTGCTCCTGGAGGCGACTGGTTGTTGCTGGCACACCTCTGCGTGCTGCCCCCACCCCCTAGCATTTCCTCCTCATAGGCAGGAAACTGACCAATGGGAGCTACGGGAGTGGTGCTTGTGGGCACAGGCAGCGCACAGAGACCCGCTGCTCCCCTCCCCGCAAGGGGCATGCAGAGACGTGCCAACAGCAGCCACTTCCGGGAGTGGCGTCGGGCCACAGCATGCAAGCAGCTTGCCTAAACCCTGCTGCGCCACCAGACAGGAGCCACCTGTGGTAAGCGCCTCCCTGCCAGAGCCTGCATCTCGCACCTCCTCCCACACCCCAATCCCCTGCCCCAGGTTAGAACCTCCTGCTGCACCCAGACTTCCTCCCACACCCCGCACCCTCTTCTGCACCCTAACACTGCACCAGCCCAGAGCCCCCTCCTGCACCAAACTCCTGCCCAGAGCCCACACCCCCTCCATTAATATAGTAGAAATATGCGGCTTGTGACGACTTACCAAAATTCGTGGAGTGGCCCCCCTGCAAAAATTATTGCCCACCCCTGCTCTAGAACCTCCATGGTTTGGGGTAGGGATTTGAAATTTGCCAGGGGATGGCTTTTGTAACAGAAAAGTGTCTTTCTGTTCCTATGAATAGCCACCAAAATTTGGCCAAGTTATAATCCTTTGGAAAAAATCTTAGTTCACACGTGCTCAGTAGAGACTTGTTACAATGAGGCAGCTAAATTCTCAGAAGAGTCCATCTGTACTGAGCATGCTACAGCACAGGGCTGCAGGGAATGAGCAGGACTTTCAGTGCCACTGTTGCTCTCGCTGTTTTGTTGTGATGCTGGACACAGGAAGAGAAAGCAGGGAGACTGTCTCTCCTGTACTCTCAATGCTCATGCTGCTAAACCCGGGCAGCATGAAGGAAGAAGTGAGCCAACTTGAATATGGCGAAGGGACATGAATGAGAGCCACACCAGAGGAGATAAAGTAGATTGTGGTAATGAGCCTCAGAGTGGGACAAGACAGAGCTGGGTGCTGTGGAGACAGATTGGGCAAGGAGCTGAGATATGGGGAAGACTGGGACTTTTGGATGAGCCCCAATGGGGAGACTGGGACTGGCTGGACAAGGAGATTGGGAATCTGAGGGTGAGACTGAGATTGGATAAGGAGCCCAAGGTTGAGAGACTGGGACTGGATGGGTGAAGGTATTGGATGGTCTTTGAAACTCACTGGTAAAGTGTGTTCTTCATCCCCCTCTAGTGCTGGTCCACCTAGAGGATAACATGTTATTAGTACTATCACTTACTCTGTTAGTTGAATTATCAGAGGTCTGTGCGGTTTATCTAAATGTTCCAACCCTGCTGATGACCAATGTGGGTGTCAGTATGATGTCATAGTTTGTTTTTTCAAGGTTTGCTTTTTTAAAAACCTAGGAAATTACATGCCATTTGTCTATTCTTGTGATATTTAGATTGCTAACTTTTTGGAGCCAGTGCATGGTCTTCCACTGTGTGTGTGCAGTCAGGCATTGATTTGGACCATCAATTAGAGCCACATTTAATCATCATTAAATTTTTCACAGAAAGTTAACTTATCTGGTCCTTCTGATCATATTAATGCTGAGCTCCTATTTTCTCAAGCTCTTGTACAGTCCAGATTTCAACTTTACAGATTTCAGTGAAATTAGTTCACTGTTATATCATCTACCCACTTACTCACAAATTGAATTCCAACAGTTTAAGTCATGGATATGAAGCCATGGATTCTAAAAGTAACTTTAAAAGTAACATGGATTTTTAAAATCCATGAAAATCAAGGCCTCCATGTAGCAATGACTAAAATGCAGCTTCTGATATCCAAAGCACAAATAACTGACTACATAGGGGTTCAGACAGAAATATTTTATGTGAAGGGCCATAAACATAAAATGAGAAAAGCAAATGAGACAGACTACAAAGGAAGTCAGATTATATCGGTCACTTGTTTATTAAGGGTTATTTTTAAAAATTGTGAAAATGGGATGAAGACAAACCAAGAGAGAACAAGCGTGTTGGATCAAATAGTATTTTATACCTCTTTTTTAATTTAGATACCTTCGGTCATATCAGCACTTTTTATACACGTGTAACATTCATAGCTCTAATCACATCTGCAGCTCTGAGATGAAACATCAGAGAACGCTTGATAAAGGGTCCAGTGGCCAGATGTCCCGATTTTATATGGACAGTCCTGATATTTGGGGATCTTATATAGGTGCCTATTTACCCCCCAGACTGTCACGATTTTTCATACTTGCTATCTAGTCACCCTAATAAAGGGATACTTTCCATTGAGCATACTACATTTAATATGAATACTATCAGTTTAAAGGAATATTTCACTTGGGTTAGGACAGTATCCACCAGTAGAGCCCTGAGCAGATATAAATCGGTATCTGTGGAGCTGCAGGGCTCTACCGGGAACCACAGCAGCAAAAGCAGCAGCACGTTGGGCCACCACTACCTGGAGCCAGCGCCCCGTTCCGGTAGCACTCCTGCATGGCTGTACTGCCAGGGACAGCTGCTGGTGAGCCTGGTGCCCACCAGTGGGTGGGGCTGGGGGTGGTATAGCCATGCTGAAGCAGCTACTGGCACAAGGCGCTGGCTTTTGGGTGTGGTGGCCCAACATGCTGCTGCTTTTTCCACTGCAGTTCCTGGTAGAGCCCTGCAGCTTTGCAGATACGGATTTATATCCACAGATATCTTCATCTGCGGATATAGATTTTGTATCCGTGCAGGGCTCTGTCCACCAGATTATGTGGATAATTATAACTTGTTCTAATACACAGATTGTTCTGTTACCAGGCTCTGTTTGTGTTATTTTTGCAGATACTTTGGTGTGAATTTTGTACTTAATGATCAGTTTTCTGAGCTGTTCTTGTGATGAGAGAGCTTACTTTTTACTGTTATAAAGCTCTTTTTTTATTGTGATTGGGAAAAGGATCTCAAATAGTGTTAAACTGCAATTGTCATTCTTTATCCATTGTATCTGCACACTGTTGGTGCCAAAACCCATTTTAAATTAATTGGAACGGGAAGGTAAAATTAATAAACGTTAATTGTTTCAGTGGAAGTCATCAGTAGCCTTAGAAATGCTGTAAATCATAATTTAAGAATACAATCAAACTGTTGAATAGTCGCAGGGAAACAAGTAGTAGATATGAGACTCATTCTTTCTTGACAAAAACAAATATATTGGTATTGTGCACTTAAAACTAATATACATGTGTAAATCTTTAAATAGGAACATTTAAATTACCAAAAACAGTAAGAAGAGGAATTCAGTCATTGTTGTATCATTATTAAACTTTAGAAATGCCAAGAGCAAATTGCAGTAGTTGATATTTTTAATTTGATTTATATTGAAATATAATTGTGCCTTATAGTGGAAAGGACTTTTGTTGTCTTCATTCAGTGAAAATGTCTTCCATTCTACCCTTTTTCATCTTTTTTTCTTTTTCTTTTTCTTTTCTAATTTGGCTTTGAAGTCAACTGATTTTTCTGATCAAAGTGAAACTGCAGCTGATTATTTTAGTCGTTCCAATCGCAGGGGGAGCATTGTTTCTGATGTGGACGATGTCAGTATCCCAGATTTAAATAGTGTGAGTGTAATGCATATTATGATATTGTAATGAATACAACGGGCTACTAATTATGAGTTTTCTTTCTTTACTGAAAAAAAGAATAACTGCCTGAAAAAGTAAAAACAAAAAAAACCCTCAGAACAGTAGAATTTACTCAGTAGTGAATGAGTTTTATACTTGTTTTTTAAACTAACTGCCAGTTTTCTTATTAGAAAATAACAGAATGCGCACTGAATAAAAACCAAATCTTTTATGTCTTGGAATGCTATTTTTTTTAACACGGTTCAGAGAATTATTTTGCCCTTTGCATGAGATATACGTGAATTTATAACAATCTAATTGTATTGTGTATAATGTATAATCATGTACTGGAATCATTACCACTTTATGCATCCATTTGTATGAGTGCTATGCATACATGAAAAAGAGCTTTGTGAAAGCTTGAAAACTCCTCTCTCACCAATAGAAGTTGGTCCAGTAAAAGACATCTCATCCATCTTGTGTCACTAATATCCTGGGACCAACATGGCTACAGCAACACTGCATGCAATAAAATACGTAAGGAATGTACAATGTCTGAGTGTCCTTTATATAATAAGCCTAAACACCTTTGAGAGCAAGCTGTGGTTTTAGTCTGAAATAACAGGTTACTATGCAAAACTGGCACCCTCTTGTTCCACAGATCTTATTTGCTGAGTTTTTCAAAGAGTATCTGCTTGCTTTAGTGACCCCAAAAAAGAAACAAAAAAGTTTGAGGTGGTGGTAGCCATCCCATGGACACACAGTTATGGGAGTGTAAACTGGAATCTATTCCTTTTCATGTATTGACAGTATTATCTTAATTCCAGTTGCAGGGCCACATTCTACCATCAGTTACTCCTATTTAACTGAGCGAAGAATTTGGTTCCAAAAATTCCTCCTTTTTCTAGTAGACTGTCCCAATCATTCAGACACAATAAACATCTAGTCCCCCCAATACTAATTTTACAATAACTTGTAAGAGTAAAACCACACTTCAAGCTAGCAAAATATTTTTTTCTGTTCAGATGAAAAACAGTAGTGCAGTATTACTATTGTCACCACCATGTATGTTATTCACCATCACTGTATGCAGCTGTATGTTCAGAGCATGGATAGATGTCAGTTGCAGTGTGCGTTCTGTTTCAAATTAAAATTTAAGCTAGTAATTTTTCTAATAAAGTTACTTTTACTGATACTAGCATTCTCTGGTACAAGGACGTGACAGTGTGTTGAGAGTGGTTAATAGCATTATTTTTTCGTTTTCTAGAATTGCTGTTGTGTGAATGGATTCTTAATTCTTGTTTTTATGGTAGCAATAAAAATTACACAATTAAAATTTTCTAATTGATACTCTGTAGGGAAGATTGGGTTCAAACAATGTAGTGCAGGTCCACAGTTGATCTTGGTAAAAGGAAGTTGTAAGTTACAACTCTTTGAGACAGTCCTTGTCAGATAATTGATAAGTAGACTGTCTTAATCATAGCTATCTGCTTCAGGTAGTAACATATGCTGCAGTGGCAGCTCTAAAGATGAAACCAGGAAATAACGTGGGACATTGAGAACTGATGTCTTCAAAATTGTATGAACTTTGCTTGTGAGGTGATGCCAAATCCTCTTAACTGCTTCTCCATTAGTTTAGGGCAAAAAGAATTACATATTTGTGTTGAAGACCATTATTGGATAAGTTACTCTTGAGAAGCTACTTATACTTATTAAAAATGTATGGATTTGTAATGTTTTAGGTTTACATTTCATTTGGATTTTTGACTGAAGAAAATGTTGAAATAAGTCTCTGAGTAATAAAATTAACAGGTTCACACACAAGTTTAGTACATCTAGACTTTCTATAGCAGATGTGTGTGTTTCTGGTCAAGCTCGATTAATTAAAATATTGTCTGAAATAAATACTAAGCTATTGGAAATAGTTATCCCTCTTCAATCATGCCTTCTTCAACCTAAGTTATTTTGTCTTGATGTGACTGCCAGTTCTACCAAATAGTGAGGTGTATTGTGACATGAACATGTGTTTTCTAGTGACTAGATTAAGACACGCAAACTGATTTCACTTGTGATCTAAACCAGATTTCCAAAAAAGTTAGTGTGTGCTATTCTGCTTAGCATCGCAGCAGTCACTGCTGTGCTGAGATTTATAATACTGAAAATAATTTCTGTTCTCAGTTCTCTAATATTAACAAAGGCTTTTACCTGAAAGGTTATCTCAAATGTCTGAAGTTTTATTTTTAATTATAAGCATGAATTTATTTGTAAGTGCTACCGTTAAAATAACTTTTATTTTAGGCCAAACACTTAAATTTTGGAGGGTTGTTAACCATTCTTTGTAATCCTGTGGATTACATACATCTCATTATACTTGGTGAACACAAAGGTGTTACAGCTGTTCAGTCACAAAATGAATAATTATAATCACTTTTTTCTCTCTCCAGCTGGAAGAGAAGTGTGACAAACCGTATCCTGAAATTTACACAAGGGTATGTTTGTTTATTAAAAGATTGAAAGTCAATTTTCTTGCTTTAATTATAGTCAATTTTTGAAATATCTCCAAAGTGTATATGCCATATGTTTTAGTAGTGTTTGTATCCTAATACTTTGACAGTGTTAATTGCAAAATGACACTTGTAAGGCTCTGTGTAAAGCCTAGATAACATTTCTGTTCCTGTCCCTTTATTTCCTATAGGAAGGGAATGTTTCCTAAAGTAGGTATTTTTTTTATACAGTTCACCCCCACATGTCAGGAAATGTTGAGCAGAGAGATTGAATTTGAAGAGGACAGGACTGGAAAAACTCAGATTTTTTTAACTGCTGTTGCAGACATTGCTCCAAGTCCTTGTGTGAGAGGAATTAAAATGACTACAAAAGTGTGGAAACTTTGAGATGGTTCCAGATGTACTTAAGTATAGAACTTCAAATTTCTGTAGGATATAAGTAAAAATATGATGATTGATAAGCTACTTATTCTAGTTTTTTTCTTCACTGTCACATCACCTCAACCAAAGTGTTTTGTAAACATCTCATCAACAAGACAGATCGTATATCATAGCAAGCATATGGAGCCAGCAGACCAAGATATAAACTAGATTCTGGAAATTAACCTTGGTCAAAAGTATGATGATATAGAACCCGAATTTTAAGTCAGGTATAAAACAGGATTTTTAAAATGTATGTTTTCAGTGTTTTAATTGTCAGGTAATTTATTATGAGAAATGTGAGATATATCACAGAGTTGGAGGCTTTTGTGGACAAAGTGGATATATCACCTCAGAAGATATCACAGTATGAATCCTGATACAGTTTATTCTTTTTTTTTAAGCCGGCATCTCGCAATTCAGCAAGTACAACTCCTCTGAGTGGGAATTCATCCAGAAGAGGAAGTGGGGATACAAGCAGTTGGGTGGATCCTGATGTTTCATTAAGTGAATTACGGGTAAACTCTGTTACTGATTTGAAAAAGCAGGAGGATTTATATTTAATATGATGGGGCGGTAGAGAGGGAGATGGGATTTCTGCTTATTTGACATAGAAAAATAAAATGTGACGTATTTTAATGATGGTGAGGGAAAATAGGTGCATGTTATAGCAATGTTACTACTTACATATGTAAATGTTTGTGGCACTGAAAGCTGAGTACTGAAACAAATTTTATTTTAAAAACATTAGAAATCATTAGATAGATTTAAGAAATGGGACTGAGTAATTTTTAATACTAGTAGTTTTCAAACAATGGTTGCATAACAAAATAGTCAGAATTTTTCACTGATTTGAGGGTTGTTTTCAATTTCTGTGTGTTTAATATGTTTTGTATACTTTATTTTGCACTCTTTGGCATTTGATTGAAAAATATGCAAAGATAAAGTGCTGTTTTCTTCACAAAATTTTCAACTGTAAACTATTTTCCCTCTTTTATGCAATGGTTCATTCCTATGTCCTGCAGGATATCTATGATCTTAAGGACCAGATACAAGATGTAGAGGGGAGATACATACAGGGACTTAAAGAACTAAAGGTATAAGGGCTCACCATCCAAAGCATGCATTCTGTGTGGACATATGTTGATAATGGAGATTTTATCAGTTCCACTAACTGCACATAGCTTTACTAACTAGATTTTTAAAAAATATTTCTCTGAAGCATGTGCTTAACCTGCAATGCATAGGATGGATAAGTTTTTTGTATGTGTAAATTACTACAATATACTATTTCCCTGTAGATTCAAAGTTATTTATTACTCAATTAAAATAGCATTAAACGTTTACAGTTTTCATATCAAGTGCCAATAAGATGAAAACTAATTGAAGCCTTATATATGGTTTAATATTTTAATAGAAAATAAATACACATTAAAAATTCATACAGTGTGTGAAAAAAGACAGATATGGGTAGTAGTTCTGACAAACAAAATAATTTAACCAAGAAAATTGTGAAGCATTAAACTTATAAATTTCAGAAAATGTTAGTTAATGTTAGTTAAAAATCCAAAACTATTTTTAAAAAATACACTGTTGTGTGTATTGGATTCAGGAGTAGATGAGGCTTTTATGGCCCATTGATAGACTAGCATCAAGTGAGAGAGGTGGATTTTTTTTAGTATACATTGTTTGCACTCTGGCTATCTTTTTCTTTCATATACACAAGGTTCTCATTGTCATAGTCCGTTGTCATAGTTAACAATATGTTGCTTAATATTTAAAGTACAATTACTTTCCCATTTACTGTGCCCAGAAGAAACTGGATGCAGAGGAGAATTTGATAGTCTTTTTCAGCATATTCTTATCCAGATGCCTGTATTCAAATTTCTTGTGACTAGTAATATTGAAATATGAAGAGCTCTTAAATGTAATGATTTCTGTTGTACACACACACGTACACCCATTGAAGATGCTCTTCATCTTGATTCATTAATGATCAAGTGGAATTCTAACCTTACCTAAATCGCATTTTACAGAGATTTTGTTTTGTTTAGTAGCCTTCTTGAGGAGAGATTTAAAGAGAATATGTAATATATTCTGATAAAAGGGAAGTCACACATCTTAAAGTCAGCATTTCATTATTCTACACTAGCTCATCTCCCTTTCAGAGAATGAGTGCATAAGCGATCAGAACAGCTGGTTTGAGGTTATGAAGTACATAATTTGTATCTCCTTGATGTTAGTGTATTAATGGGCCTCATAGTAAAATGGTCAAAATACTTTTTTTTTTTTTTTTTCCCCTGTAGCCTATTGAATCCTTGATGCAGTCTTATGAAGTTCCTTAATGGTGGCAGAGCTGGAGGATATGTGTCTTTAAGAACTTGTGTTACTGTAGATGTAGATGTCAAAAATTCTGTAATGACTGTATAACTACAGGTTCAAATATAAATATGGAGTTCTTATTTAATTGTCAAAATATCTATTATTTTACAAGTCCCCTTTTTTTCTTGATCTTGGCAAAATACTTTGCATCCACAGGCCTTAATCATTTAACAATTTGAAAAGGATACCTTTTTTGTTAACTGTGCATTACACCCAAAAGAATATTTTCAAAATGGGTTTAACGCGAATAAACATACAGTTCTTTGTGCATGCTTGTGCCCATCTCATAAGTGGTGATATGAATTATTAGGAATGTTTTATTTGCAGATAATATGATTGCTTTTCAGTTACTATAAAGCAGAAGCTATCAGTAGAAATTAACCTTCTAGATGCTTTGCTTGGCTGACATTAGATTTAAAAAGTGGATTGCTGTTATTACTATTGTAATTTTAAAAGAATCCTTAAGGATCTAATTTTAAGATAGTTAAGCACCAGTCCAAGATTATAGTTTTATAATGGATTTTTTTCAGTGACATGATCATACTCAGAGCTGACCTGAGTTTCAGAAAACCAAAACATGAAGTCAGTATATTTTCATAAGTATTTGGAAATCTTTGCGTCTATAGTCAAGAACTTTTTAAGTTTGAGCCTATTTCTTATGAATGCCTATCCCCTGACATATGCTATTACTACTTGGCCCTTCTTCCAGCATTGGCTCAGTGGCACTACATTTTTTTCCCCTTTCAAGACTCAGGAAATGTCTTGAGAAGTTCTCTACTGCACCATATTCTCTGTTTACTCTGCCTCCAGTTGTAAGGTAATAGTTCTCTGTAGCTGTCTTCCTCCTCCTAACAGGGAAAATATCTTTTTTCTTCTTCTTCTTGATCTCTGCCTAGCAGTTTTCTGTTGGGCACCTTTCAGGGCTGCCTGGGGACCATACCAGCTTTGCAATTCCCACAAGTGCTTTTCCAGTAGTGGAGAAGCAATGATCTGCCAGCCCACCACTTTCCTGTTCCTAAGGCTGGTGGTGGTCATCGTTCAAGATTTCTAGGATAGCTGAGAAATATACAGATTTTAAAAATTGTGCAAGGGATAGAAAATGTCCAGATTGTGGTTCCACCCAGTCTAACTCAGTTGTGTGTGTCTTCTGCCACCAGTGGCATCTACCCTCAACTCAGTCTGAAGGAATCCTTCCATCTTTTTCAGGCTTTCTGATTCTTGGACTCAGCTCTACAAGTGTGCAGTCTGCCTCCATCGACCTCCTCAGGTCAGCCTGACTAATTTACATAGCTTCTTCGCTTTAGATTCCCAGCTAAAATTTGAGGTGACTTTATTCCCCAGTAGCTCTTTTGAGTTGCCTGTAGATTTTTATTTCCATTTTCCAGCCCATTTCCCCCTAGACTTCTCGATGTCTCCTTCCAAAAGTCTTCCAAGTCGGTATTATCTCTGAACCTGACCAACAGATCTATGATACTGATATCTCTACAGAACCTGCTGCCTGTAGAAGCCATCATCTGTGTTTCTTCTCTGGAGAAAGGGGAACAGTTTCTTCTTAAGATGTTTTGTGGCCTCCAAAGAGGGTGGGTTTTGTCCAGTCAAGGACTTGAAGGTGAACTTCTGGATGGAACCCATAGCACTGACTCGGGAGGGGGCTGTGTGTTTTTAGTTAATCTCAAGGTCTGCTTCCCATTTGTAGTCATGTCTTTCAGATTATCATCAGCTCCCAAAGTATTTCAGATCTCATATAATTTGGATGATGTACTGATATATTTCCCCAACAAGGGAAATAGCCTGGGACTCTCTTCAGACCACCAGACTAACTCAACAACATGAATCTGGTGATCAACTTGATATAGAGGTCTTGCCACCCAGAATCTATTTCAGAAGATCAAGTCTGATTTTTCCAGTGTTCCAAGCCCATTCAGTATCAGCGCTCTAGTTCCTGCAACTTCTGATGATCTTCTGTGCAGACATAGTCCATTGAGCCATAATATAACGTTGAGTTCTTTTGCACTTCCTCCTGGCAAATGAAACTAGCGATACAAGAGTATGAACAAGTTGATTGGGCTATCCTATCCTTTTCATAGCTCACTCAAGTGGCAAGTTTCCTTCCTTGTGCATAACGGTATAGGCAAGCTGGCTACTGTGCTGAGATGGGAAATCACTTAGTCCCGTGATCTCGAATATAAACTCATTCAATTTCACCTTTTGAAACTGAGAGTGCAGAGGGATATTGTAATGTCTCCTTCCAAAAATGGTGCCATCTCCAAAATATCTCTACATATAGAAAAAACAATGGTTCCACCCTCACTTATTGCAGCAGGCAGGGAGGCACTACTTGCAAAAAATATATATAATAATAAGCCTTAAGAAGTCCTTCAGTTCCCGTGAGAATAGAAACTGAATTAACATTTTTTCAGCTTCTCATCCAGAAATGGTTAATTAAACAGACACTTTTTTTGATTGTTTTCAAATCAACTCAACAAACAGGTCCTTTTATCTTACTCCAGACATTGGCATCAACCACCTTCAAAGATGGGTGTATTTTTTTTCTTTCCATTGGATGTGTCTTCAACTTTACCGTTGCCAACAGAGAAAGTACAATTTAAAATATTTGGGAGGACTGTGCCTTAGTAAGTCTTGAAATCAGACCATTGGGAGCTGCCACTTATGAAGGACTTAATTCATCAAAGTCCTCATGGAGACTGCTCTTGCTAGTTGGAACCTCAAAACTAAAGCCTTGTCTCACATGATTACTCCAGAGAACTAGTAGATTTCCTCATTATATCAAGAAAGCTATGCATATTCAGAATATATAAAAGAATGTGAAATATATGGTTTTCCTGGTATGATCAAAGGACAATACATGCCTTTTAGGCCACTAGGGAAGGAATACTAATTCTCAGTTGTCCAGTTTTCAGAGTGGCCCGTGCCTCAGTTATTTTAAGCCAGGTGTCTGTTCAAAAACAATCCATTTTCTCTCATCTGAAAAGTCACTTCTTCAAGCTCTTATCTGCAGATTTTCTCAGTCTGTAAGGGTATGTCTACACTACGAAATTAGGTCAAATTTATAGAAGTCGGTTTTTTAGAAATCGTTTTTATGTAGCCGATTGTGTGTCCCCTCACACAATGCTCTAAGTGCATTAAATGCATTAACTCGGCAGAGTGCTTCCACAGTACCGAGGCTAGCGTCGACTTCCGGAGTGTTGCACTGTGGCTAGCTATCCCACAGTTCCCGCAGTGTCCGCTGCCCATTGGAATTCTGGGTTGAGATCCCCATGCCTGATGGGGCAAAAAACATTGTTGCGGGTGGTTCTGGGTACACGTCATCAGGCCCTCCCTCCCTCCCTCTGTGAAAGCAACAGCAGACAATTGTTTTGCGCCTTTTTTCCTGAGTTACCTGTGCAGATGCCATACCATGGCAAGCATGGAGCCCGCTCAGCTCACTGTCACCGTATGTCTCCTGGGTGCTGGCAGACGCGGTACTGCATTGCTACACAGCAGCAGCAACCCATTGCCCTGTGGCAGCAGACGGTGCAATAGGCCTGAAAACCATCCTCATTGTGTCCGAGGTGCTACTGGCTGCCTCTGTAAGGTCGGTCAGGAGCGCCGGGGCAGATATGGGCACAGGGACTAAATTAGGAGTGACTCGACCAGGTCATTCTCTTTAATCCTGCAGGCAGTCCTATTGAACCATCTTATGGTGAACAGGCAG